GGGGGGGGGGTGCCCGAGACGAAGAGCCGCCCGAGCTACAGCTCGAAGATGAAAAAAGATTTTAAAGCCTCTGATCCAGCAAGAAGAGTTTAAAGCAATTGCTGAGTTTTATAGCAGTTGTGACGTCAGGCCCAAATGGGAAATTGACTGGCACTCTCGGCCAATGGGAGGCGGCGAGAGCGGCCGCGATTAGCATAATAGTATAGAAACAAGGAAACTTTTCGGAGCTGTCAATCAGGGCCCAATCAGCTGACTGTCAGCTGGGACGGGCTGGCTTAACCCTTCCCGGGCCGCAGCCTCCTTTGGCGCCGCCTGGGCGCGGGGCCCCCGCGCAAAGTGCCCTCTGTGAGGGGCCAGGAGTTTGCCAGAGGGGCTGCGGGGAGCTGGCCGGGCGGACGAAGTGGTTTTTCGTGGGAGCGCGAGAGGCCTGCCTTCCGGACCCCCTCCCCTCACTTGCCCACCGCTCATTCTCTGGGGAAAGGGGTGGGAATCCACCCGAGTCCGCTCCCTGCCCGCGCCCTTACACCCTAGCCGAGGGTGGTGGATTCGCCTAGCAGCATTTTTGTTTCTTAATCTCCCTTCTTGCTCCACTGCAGGCACCCAGGTGTCTGCGTGAGGGACCTTCCTTCCTGGCGCCTAGCTGTACCCAGAGCTCAAACTTGCATCCCAACTCTTTGTCCCTGTGCCTGGTTGGCGCCTGCGCGCGAAGGAACGTGCGCGGTTGCAGGGGTTCGGGACTGCGCCCTGCCGCGCGCCTCCCCGCGTCGGACGCAGTCAGCGGAGGGAGCTAGCCCGGTTCTAAAGGAGGTGGAATAATTTTTGCAGGGGACACGCCGCGTGGAGCTGGCTGTCCACCAGGGTCGCGTGCCCTTGCGGGGAGTGAGCGCCTAGCCCACTGAACTCCGGGGAATCTTGGAGCGGGGTCACGGGGCTTCAGTCCGCTGGCTCCAGGCGCTGGCCCCAGTGTGGTCTCGGAGATTCCTTTTTCATTCTCTCTCCCTGTCTCTCTCTGTCTCTGTCTCTGTCTCACACACACACACACACACACACACACGCGCGCGCGCATACACACTTACTCACACACACCCCCTATGAAACCTGACCCCTCTTTATCTGGGTCCCGCGCGCCCTTTGCACTTCAACGTTTCACTTAATTATTTCAGACTTGATCTTGGCGCGCGGAACGGAGGAACAAACAGACCCCCAGTCCTCACCAGCTCCGCTCCAAGGGTTAAATTTTAAACCGCGGTTTCTCGGACAACTCCGGAAACCCAGAGTGGGGGCGGGGTGGGGGGCTGCCTCTCCCTTCCCCTTGCAGATGCTAATAACGAATTCAATTTTCTAGATTGATTTTTTTAAGCTTATGCAAAGGAGCAAAAGAGAAGGGAAAGAAAAAGGAGAGACGAGAAAGAAACCAACAACTCATTTTCTAAGATTTTAAAGCGATAGCAAGTCGGAAAAGCTGAGATTTGTTTGGGGGGAAAAGGCCAGAGAGCGCGGAGCTGGTCTGGAGTTTGGAAGGCTGGTCTGCATTGCTGGGAACTTGGGCCTGTTGACTCCTTCAATTAATTAAGTGAATTTGGTGTTAATCATATTTATTTTACTTTATGGGAGACGGGAGGGAGACGCCAGGACGGGGCAATTGTTAAAAAAAAAAATTCTGAAAAGCCTGCAAAAAGGACGGAAGAGTGAAAACTATTGTTGGACCCAGTTGGTTTCTACCTCGACAGCGCCACCTTTCGGCAAAGGTCAGTTGAAATGGATCCGTGTCCAGTTTTGTCGATGGAAGTGTAAAGCTGCCAGAGGGAGAGAAAAGAAAGGGCCCAGAAAGCTAATTTGTCTGCAAAGAGAGAGAAGCCGACCTTGTAGGTAGTGGGGCTGAAGAAAGATACGGTGGAGGCAAGAATCATTCTCCCCTCCCCATTGCCCCCCTTATCAAGGAGGTTAGGGGGCAGTCACAGAAGTCTGTGGTCTTTTCTGGGCAGGGGACTTTTGCGAGGCAATGGAATGTGGTAGGGCCCCCCTCTAGACCCGTTTAAAAGCACCTGGGCTGGATTTTCAAGGGATTTTATGGCAATATCAATAGAATTAAAGTTACTTGTAATTCAGTGATAAATGAAATGTCCCTTGTAAGTAAGATTAAGTGCAGTGCTATAAAGTTGTTTATTCTCAGAAAACCTGACTTTTGACACTTAGTCATATATTAAACCAGCTTCTTGAACGTTGCACTTCTGAACGCGCCAACCTGCTGGAAGGCAGGGAGCTTCCCTGTTTAAAAGGAGACTTTAGGCGTCACTCCCTCCATTCCCAGGCAGTGCTGAACCTGGGGTAATTTCTCCTTGGCTGGGAGCAGTCCTCGCTTTGGGGAATACCCCAGCAATGTTGTTAAGGCTCATCATTAACCTACAAAGGCAGCGTCGTTGGCATTTTCCAGACAGACAACGCTTGCTTTTCATCATTATTGCAGAAAACTGTTTTTTTTAATTCAGGAAAATTCATCAGGGCAGTTTGGGCTTTATAGAAATGCTTTGTTGGAGTTGACTGAACAGTGCCTATTACCCGTTTAGGGAAGAAAAAGGGAAGATGACGTCAATATGCATGCAACCTAAGCACCCCCTTCCCGCCTGGCTTCCTGCCGACGTAACAGTATTTTACCTAGTAATGAAGTTAAGGGATTATAGCTCAGGTAGTTAGAGGACAATCTACTATTCAAACTATATAGACAGATCATGTCGTTTACCACTGTCCACTGCAATAATTTTTAGACTTAAAAAAAACCTTCCAAATATCTGCTGTTTTTATTTTTTCATATAAAATAGACATTTCAGTAGATTTAGAAGGAACTCATTCTTTTAGTTTCTGATAACGAAGGTTTTAAAATGGTTGGCTGTCGGTCCCCTGGTTAGCAGGACATTTTTGCTGAAAGCCGAAAGATAATGGCTCCTGCTTCTCACGCAAGCACTCCATTTGTGGCCCGGGACACGCAGGACGAGCTCCGTTTATAAAGCAACAACCTTCATCGACAGAGATTGCCAGTGATCGCTCTCTCTAGATTTATAGCTGAGCACGTAATTGTTGCCATTGTATAGCATTTCTATAAATTAAATGCCCATGTTTGGGCAGCTCCCGGGCATTACCTACACATTCTTCCGGTTTATTTTGGCACATGGCTGTCAAGCTGGAGTATCTCTCTCTCTCTCTTGCATACTCGTTCATAGCCTCCCATTTTCTCTTGAAAAGAGAGTAGATCAGAAACTCTTTTTTTCAAGATGTGTACAGACACTGATCTCGGGCTCACAACTTAATTCTCCCTTCTGTCCTTTTTACTTTATTATGTAGCGATTCACAAGGGGTGTCTAAACATTGACAGTGCTCTCTTAACCGTGTTTCTTTGGTAACAATCAAGCACT